AGAGGTCCTCTTGGGACATGCCAAAGGCCTCCTAGTACTGCAGTTCATGCTAGAACATACATACACCACAACATGGAATTCCGAGCATTTTGTCTTCCCTCAGTTTAAAAGTCTATTCGCAAATCAATTATGCAACATAGGGTAAAAAGATCACATTACCACCTATATTGAGGCCACTTCTGCATAGCCATCCTGTTTGATTGAAATAGACGACTATCGTGGGACATGACAAAGCACGGATAAATTCCTTTTCAAAGTTCTATCATAGCGCTTCACAAGTTACGCTGCAAATTTCTCCCTTACAGACTTTGAGCGATCCGATATCTTGTAACCAACATCTCAGTGGTCCTCGACAAAGCAGAAATTAGTCTTGAAAAGACAGCAGAAGGAACTCACGATATCTTCATCTCTAACTGTTCTTGAAGTTGCCCACAGCTGAGTTGATGAATTAGGGAAAGAAGGAGCTCCTGTTTCACATTTTGGCGGAAGAGCTGTACCACTGGAACGTTCTGCAATACCTTCAGCAATAGTGTCTGATTCGCAGAGGTCAGCGCCTTCAGGGAGGTGAAAAAGGAAGGTCGTTACAACCCGCAGTCACCTTAGGCTTAAAAGGGGAGCAGATAACTTTATTACGAGACCACTTCTGTCTGGCCATAGGACTATTCTCACAGCTTGTATGAGCCGCCAATTTAAGATCGATAGTGACACCCATGTTAGAGGACTGTTGGTGAATTAAAGGTCTCGACAAGCCACATCTTTTCAGAATTTGCTTGAAGGTTAACCGTCGTGACATTATCAATCTAAACAAGACTACTCTCTTGAAACCATTTTAAATGACCGAAAAAGGGGAAAACAATCAAGTCAGAAGAAGGAGAGGAAATTGTTTTGAAGCGCCAAACGATCAAATCAGCTCCACTTGAAAGTACATTTCTTACCATCTCAAGGGCGTCAACAAATTGGTGGTTTTGAATGAACATGAGAGCCGACTGGTAGGGATCTGTAGACACAGTGCCCGCCGAAATGAAGCTCCTTAACTGCTGCTTACTACCGCCTCCTCCAGCAACATCGAAGGCCGATCTAGGAGCTTTTGCCGACAAGTCTCTTGGAGTCGAAGCTGATAATCCTGCTCCTGTTGCTGCAAATGCAGGCGACATTGCAATATCTGGCGCTGGTGGTTGTGGCTGCTGCTTCGAGGAGGATACTTTTAGCAATTCACTTATTTGAACTGTAACAGCCTGTTAATTGAAGAAAAAAAAAAGCTGTCTTGTAGCTTAACCAGTGCTAAGAACTTTAAAGAGTACGAACGCCAGCACGTATGGTTTGTCTTCTTGAGGTAAGCAAAATCTACCAATATTACCAAGCCAACCATTACGAGCCTATCCACCTCGGGTTGACTCCAACCCGATCTACCCACCTTTCCATCAACTGATGGACAACATTAAACAGATAAATGAAAATCTATTTCAGAAGTAATTTAACGATCACTAGCCACACCACCAATACTTATTTTAAGACAGCCAGCATATTCGGCGGGTTGTATATAATCTAGCTACATTCCTCGAATAAAAGTTTATTTCTCTAGGATTTACAAGACGGAAGATAAGAACTTACTGCGATATCCATTGACAGTTGGCTAACATGGTCATCGAACTTTCGAGCCGATGCATCGATCTTGTCACGCGAGGACTGGACACCAGAATCCATCTTTGTAACCACCAGCTGTATGTCTGATGGGCAAACAACAGAAATCATGGAATCTCAGGAAAATTCTCCATTTTTACTCAATATTTTAAAAGTCACTGAGACAGCATGCCACAAGCAGTCACAGGCTCATGTGGGCTTGTTTGTTCCAGTCTTAAGTATGGCAATGATTAGGCAGCGCAAAAAACCTACAAGTACCAAGAAGTGGTTGCCTCGTTAAGACGCGCACAAATGAGTTCAACTCCAAGCATGAAAAAAACACGATGTGAAGTAAACCTGAATGAGAGCCAATGGCAAGAGGTAACTTAACCATCAATCCAATGAGTTCAAGCGACTGCTTGTCAGCGAGAAATGCGTATACTGAAAAGATGGAGAAGGATGGGGATCTGCATTTCAATGGACGACTTCAACTTTGGAGAAATAGAATGAGGCGAAGGTGGAGCGATAAATTAAGGGCAAACATGGTGAAGGAAGGGGAGTGGGTACGTCTTGAGGCAGATCAAGCAAACAGAATTTGAACTCTATTAACGTTCCAACAACATTTTAGGCAAGGAAACTTTCCAGGCAGCTGAATGAGCTTCGAGTAACGAAGAACAAATTTTGCCATCCAGTGAAAAAGAATGATCGTAATGATCGAATGATCGTAAAACGAAATCTGAACTGAGAAGCAATAACTAATGATGAGTCTAAAACAAATATAGAGAAAAGAAGTGAATAAATATGATTCCAACTAGCCATCTTCGAAAAAAGGCTACCGCTTCAATAATAGAACATTTGGGTGACAAAGGAGGCACCGTTTGTTACGCGGAGTAAGGCACCAAATAAGCATGATCCACAGAAATTCAGCAATTTTTCGGTATTGTTATTTCTTGAAAAATGAGTCATTGTAAAGTAAAGACAAAAATCCTAGTCACAAACCAGGAAAGATGAACAATTTAAGGATGAAGACCAGTGATTCAAGACTTACGCTGGTTCAGGGCGTTGCTGACAAGTTCATTCAACTCTTTAGTAAGTTTGTCTATCCCCTTTGTAAATGCCGGCACAAGCACTCGACGTATTTCCTCGCGGTAAGCAATCGTCATACTAGGTGCAATCGTCGAGCTCATCTGGCCGGAAAAGTACTGCGCGAACTTCTACAGCGTATGAGAGACATTTACAACAAGCAAGAGGCAAAGAAAGTAGGAGAGGGGAGAAGTTTTCAATACAAGCCTACTGGATCGACGATAACGGAGAGCATCCGATCAGCCACTGTCTTAGGCAGAGGACTTAGCATCTCCTCTAGGGAGGATCGCAAATGCTGACGCAGAGGCTCGAGGATTGTGGGAATATCTAGCAGTGGAAGAAATAATTATTTTGGCGACAAACAATGTATATTTCTTTACACTCTCCGGTTTCGGATGCTAACTTCCCTGCGTCGTTAAAGCCATGCTCGTAAGCATACCTGAATTGAAATGACGCTCAAATCAAACAGAAGCTGTCTTTCGCAAAGGAGAATGAAGATTACTAGACCCACATCAACTCTCTCCACGGCCACTAATTACTGTCGTCAAAACAACACCGAAATAAAGGGACTCATCAGCACGGTTGAACCGTCCATGCACAGAATGCGTTAATTTGCTCAAAACACAGTTCCTTGGCGTCTTGACAAGCGATGACTAAATTTGACCTACTCACAATAATAGAGCTTTAGAATACTTGCCGTATCACTTGTAAATGCTATTACTCATTTTGACATCACATTTGTTCACACCAAAATCGAAAACTTAGCCTTATCCGTCGGTTTACATAGTGAGCTTCAATTGTTTTGAGACGAATCGCAAAAGACAAGATCAAGTTAATCTTCCAAATTTTGGCAATCGGCAAATCTTCACCATGGTTGAAATCATTCAAGCAAAACTAAATCTAAAGAATGGCCCTTTTCTATATTAGCTGTACAAAACGCAGAAAGTACATTGGCAATTATGCGCCTCACGATACCACCGTTAAGTTGAAAGTGAATTTAAATATGAGAGCTTTGAGGATTTTGAGGTAGATGTCGAAGACTAAATGCTGCCGCAATCAATTGAAGACACCAAGACACCAAGATTACACTGAAGCATATCCTCCATTATGGGAGGGAAGAAATCGCGAACAAAAAACTTAAACCGAATCAGCCAGTCATCTACTCACATCAACAAAAAATTTCAGGCTCAGAATATTGCGATAGGGGAACTATTTTAAAGCGAAAATGTTTCAAGTTCTTCGTCAGTGGCCAATTTTCAGAGGCTAGATTATCTTGCAAATACAGTTTGCATCCCATGAAAACGAATGCACCCTCTTAGTTCTCGACTTCGTAGAATCAAACGAAGTATACTGACGGATTCAAGAGCTTCTACTTACTCGACTTAAAGATGTTTTGCATTTCAGTCCGCATGGCATTACGCGTATGATCCTGCAAAGACTGCATCTGCTTTGCGTCTAAAAGAGATGTCGTCTGCGGTTTTTTTGCCGAAGCTTTTGAAGCAGCAGAGTTTTGAATGTTGTTCAGCATTGTTTCCAGATGCGTCAACTGCTTTGCCGTTTCGAGTTTCTGCTTGTGCACTTTGGTTGCAGAAGTAAAGAAGCTAATGACACGAGTGTACGAGGTGAGAAAGATCTATAAGAAAAGGGAAGACGGGGTGACTCACCTTGATCCACCAGCTGAATGGCCCAGGTAGGTGACGTGGGGGTAGCAGGGGTGGTGAGAGTGGGATTGAGAGCATTAACTTGTCTCAAGATGGATGCTTGCACGTTAGCCAGTTTTGTGAGTTGATTCTTATTCTCGTGCACCTTGTCTAAAAGAGGAAGCAAACTGTCCAACATTCGATGAGAAAACAAGGCTGCTATCTCGAGAGCCAATTTCGTCCATAGATTGAGGAGAGAGGTGGTTAATGGAGAATTTGCATGAGCCTAGCTATCGACGGCCATTTGGGGTATTTTACGTTAACAGTGGCACAGGTTGTTCGAAACATCAGCAAACAAGCGGTGAAGACTGCAGTCGAGTGCATACATGCCTCCATTACTCACATGAAATAGATGGTCAGGGCAAATTCCTACTGTATAGATTATTCCAAAAAAACCTACCAAAATTGTGTTAGCTGAAAGGATCGCTAAATAACACAAAGAAGTCTACGCATAAAAATGACGAAGTGTACAGGATGGGTCATCGAATCTAAACAGATAACCTGATGGACCATTTGAGGCTTGGGTAAATACGACATGGATAGGTAAAGATAGAGCAAGAAGGGAGATGAATAGGTTGGAGAGGGGGAGGGGAGGGAACGATAAATTGATGACTGGAGTAAAATGCAAGTGATTTGGTGAATGAGTGGGTAGGTGAGTGGATGATTCGAGAGATGGAGCCTTGAAAAATAGATTAATAAATAGAGTAATGGATGAGTAGGAAGTGAATGCAAAAACGGTTGAGTTGATAAGATCGGATTCACGAAAGTAGAACAAAATTGAGTGAATAAATGAATGATTGAAAAAATGCATTATTGAGTGCGCGAAAGAACTGTCTATGAGATGAACGAATATATCAAGAAAGTATGAATGGATGGTCTTCCCTGCATGGGTAAGCCAACTAACATACTTGTTAACGTCTTAATAGAAGCCGCCTGAGCCTTAGTCTCGGCCAACAGACTCTTCAGTAGTTGAATTATTTCAACATCCCCCGAAGCGCCAACTTCAGTGGGAGGAGGAGCAGGAGTAACAACAGTACGGAGCTGCAATGATTTCAACGACCCTGCCGCAGCGACCACATCGTTTGAACTGCCATCCAAACTTCGTACAGAGTCTGAAAGAGGCTGGTTCATACTGAGACTCATTGCCTTTACAAATACGTCATTCATAGGCCGGGAAAAGTCTAGGATAGACGGATCACCTACAATGAAAGATAATGAAAAAATTGATATCAAAGAAGGTGAGGAAATTAAAAATGGAAAAAAATTAACTGATGCACCCTGACAAAACAGAATATGTCGACAAAACATCCTTCTGGTAAGACACATGGATAAGACTACATTGGTCTTGGCCTTCAGCATTGTAATGAGAAACTTTCAGAGGGCACATAACAATAAATTGGCTGTAAGTACAAAGGTCAAAGTAAAAATCATGTCTAGATACTACTCAATGTCACCTCATTTGATCATCTGAAAAGGTGTGAAGTAGACAAGATGGAACATGTTATGAGCAGTTTGAAGTCGAGAATGAAAACTCAAACACCAATTAATTGTCCACAGTTTCCAAAAATTGTAAAAACAGTGAGATACAATCGATGCTTTGGAGTGCGAATGGAAGTCGAAGCAGCCAAACCAAAAAAATGAATTCAGAGTTGCTACTTTGTAT